ATGGGGAAGATGTTCTTTGAGAACTTGGGAACTTAATGGTATGTGTGTCGTGACGTACTGGATGTGTGGGTGGGGGTGTGGCTATGTGGGTGTGTAGGTGTGGGTGTATTTATGTCGGTGTAGGTATGGGAATGACATGGCCATACATATTGGTGTTGGTATGCGCATATTGGTGTGGGTGTGGGAAGAATTATGGGAGTGGGAATGATTATGGGTGTGGGAATGATTATGGGAGTGGGAATGATTATGGGTGTGGGAATGATTATGGATGTGTACTACCATATTCCTGACCAATCAAGCCACTATTGAACTTGAGAAACATGCAGGGTTCGATACTATCCGCGGTAAGACGTTGCTCTGGTACTATGGGGCCATTGTCTCGTGTCTCCGTTAATATCTACTAAACTGGTTCGCTAAACTAGTGTTCGTGTGAGTGAACAATAACTTTATGTTGTCATATGTCTCCAGTATTATATAATCATGTTCTTACAAGTCCCATTACCCTGCTTCTAATGGACAATTTTTCTTGAATTGTGTTGCTATAATTTACGTTGGTCCGAATTATTGACTTTGGTCCGAATTATTTACTTTGATAAAATTATTATTTACTTTGGTCAAAATTATTTACTTTGGTCAAAATTATTTACTTTGGTCAAAATTATTATTTACTTTGGTCAAAATTATTTACTTTGGTCAAAATTATTATTTACTTTGGTCAAAATTATTTACTTTGGTCAAAATTATTTACTTTGGTCAAAATTATTATTTACTTTGGTAAAATTATTATTTACTTTGGTCAAAATTATTTACTTTGGTCAAAATTATTATTTACTTTGGTCAAAATTATTTACTTTGGTCAAAATTATTATTTACTTTGGTCAAAATTATTTACTTTGGTCAAAATTATTATTTACTTTGGTAAAATTATTATTTACTTTGGTCAAAATTATTATTTACTTTGGTCAAAATTATTTACTTTGGTCAAAATTATTTACTTTGGTCAAAATTATTTACTTTGGTCAAAATTATTTACTTTGGTCAAAATTATTTACTTTGGTCAAAATTATTTACTTTGGTCAAAATTATTATTTACTTTGGTCAAAATTATTTACTTTGGTCAAAATTATTATTTACTTTGGTCAAAATTATTTACTTTGGTCAAAATTATTTACTTTGGTCAAAATTATTATTTACTTTGGTCAAAATTATTTACTTTGGTCAAAATTATTATTTACTTTGGTCAAAATTATTTACTTTGGTCAAAATTATTTACTCTGGTCAACATACTGTGGCAACAGAGTCTGACGAATATTTCTGACATGTAATGTATACTTGTAATTTGTATTAAGTTTGTATTAAGTATGATGTATTATACTTGTGTAAGTGAATAACGTACATGAGTTTATTTAATTACTAGTGATCTATTTATGAATATGTTAATGCATCGTGTACTCAAGTGATAGTTGAAGATCTTCATGATTTTCATGTCCTCATGCTCAGCGTCCTCATGCTCAGCGTCCTCATGCTCAGCACCCGCACGCTCAGCACCCGCACGCTCAGCACACACACGCTCAGCACCCACACGCTCAGCACCCACACGCTCAGCACCCGCACGCTCAGCACCCGCACGCTCAGCACCCGCACGCTCAGCACCCACACGCTCAGCACCCACACGCTCAGCACCCGCACGCTCAGCGTCCACACGCTCAGCATCCTCACGCTCAGCACCCTCACGCTCAGCACCCGCACGCTCAGCACCCACACGCTCAGCACCCGCACGCTCAGCACCCACACGCTCAGCACCCACACGCTCAGCACCCGCACGCTCAGCACCCACACGCTCAGCACCCGCACGCTCAGCACCCACACGCTCAGCGTCCACACGCTCAGCGTCCACACGCTCAGCACCCACACGCTCAGCACCCACACGCTCAGCACCCGCACGCTCAGCACCCACACGCTCAGCACCCGCACGCTCAGCACCCACACGCTCAGCACTCGCATAAGCATTATTTCCTTATAACTGATGAATGAGCCGTGTCAGGGGCAGTGTCAGAGAGCCGTATTAGGGGGCAGAAGTGTCAGGGGGGGGGGCGTGTCAGGGGGGGGGCCGTGTCAGGGGGGAGGCCGTGTCAGGGGGGGGGCCGTGTCAGGGGGGGGCCGTGTCAGGGGGCCATGTCACCCCTGGCTAAACACGACACATTCATATATTAAACTCGGCGGACAGTTCATACAATGGCTCTGATGTCCTGCAGGTGTGTCCGGCGAGCTCCCTGTCTCTCTCTCGGCAGGTGTGTGGGTGGTGCTGAGGCAGGTGTGTGGGGGCTGGTGCTGTTTGGGTTGTATCTTCTGGTGTTGAGAGAGCAGGTGTGTAGAGTCTGTTTCTGTTAGCGTTTTGGCAGGTGCTTGTGTAGGTGATGTGGTGTCATGTGTGTGGATGGTGTCTGTGGTGTTCAGGCAGGTGTGTGTTTTTTTTGGGTGTTTTGGGGCAGGTGTGTGTGTGTGTGTGTTAGTAGCACCTTAGACTTCCCTCCTCTCCTCCTCAGACTAGCAAACAATACTAGAAGACGATATTACCAGGCTGAACTAGCAGCAGACTTTACCAGCAGTGCCAGCAGACGCGACTAGCAGACACACCCAGCAGACGCCGCTAGCAGACGATAGCGTCGTGGAGGGGGGACTTGGCACTCTGTTTCGTCACGATGTCACACGACGGTCGTTTGTCTGGCCTCGACGGGTCTTCCCTCTCTCCTGGAAGACCTGGAAGTGCCTGGAATTGTTGTTCCAGAGACGCTGCCTGGAAGTCGTATACGGGTTTTAGGGATATTTTGCGAATCTTGGGAATTGGTCCTGGAAGCCAGAAATGTTTCCCCTTGGCGCACTTGGAGCGACGTTGTTGTTGTGTGTCTGGAAGGTTGGGAATGGCTTAATATAGCGTCTTGTGGGGGTGTTCAGGTGGGGCTCCATGTAACCCCCCTCCCTCCCACCACCACAATCTTAACTGTGGGGGTGTGTATGAGGGCTTCACATTCACCCACAGTCGCTAATGTGGGAGTGTCCAGGTGGGTCCCATATACTCCCACAGTCATTACTGTGGGAGGTGACAGGCTAAACTCTTAGTTTTTTATTAACACACTTATGTACATCAGCATTTGTGCAGCTGCCCTAGACTATATGAAGGGGGAGTACAGAGTGTCAAGAACTAGCCCTATGATGCTACAAATCTCCACCACACAGAATGGTTAGTCATACAGGGCCATGTGATCAGTAGTCTGCACTGGCAAAATCTGGCTTCATTATGAGGCTATCATAGGGAGCCGGTCGGCCGAGCGGACAGCACACTGGACATGTGATCCTGTGGTCCTGGGTTTGATCCCAGGCGCCGGCGAGAAACAATGAGGTACATCTGCATTTGTGCAGCTATCCTAGACTATATGAAGGGAAGTACAGTGTGTCAAAAAGCTAGCTACGTGATGCTAAAAATCCCCATCACACAGGATGGTTAGTCATACAGAGGCATGTGATAAGTAGTCTGCACTGGCAGACTCTGGCTTTTTTTTTTTTTATTAACATATTAGGTACATCTGCATTAGTGCAGCTACCCTAGACTATATGAAGTGGAGTACAGTGTGTCAAAAAAGCTAACTAGGTGATGCTAAAAAATCCCCATCACACAGGATGGTTAGTCATACAGAGGCATGTGATAAGCGGTCTGCACTGGCAGACTCCGGATGCATTTTGAGGATATCAACAACACAAGATTGAATAAGGTAGCAGTGGTAATACAAGTCCCCATCTCGCAGGATGGTTAGTCATACAGAGCCATGTGTTTAATAGCCTGCACTGGCAAATTTTGGGTATACTGTGAGGATATCTTCAAGAATACGAGAGTGAATAAAGTAATTGCAAAGCTCCAGGTACCTCATGCCAACTGGTCTGAAAGGTCTGACCCGTCACCTGCAGCCACCTGCCACAGGTAACGGTAACCCAACCTGATCACAGTTGCAGGTTGCCACACACACCACTGTGTACGTCTGGTGCACAGTTAGTGCTATAAATATAGGTTTCGGATATGGACAAATCGCATGTTGGTAAATGAACAAGTGATCAGGCAACCCGTTCTCGCAAATTCGTAAAGTCAATATTGACTTATTAACTACGTGCATAGGTGATATACTAAACATAATAGATACCCTTAAAAGATTCATAGAAAACACCAACCTTACCTAACCTTGTTAGTATCTTAAGATAAGCATCTTATTGCTTCGTAATTACAATTATTACTTAACCTATACCTATTATAGGTTAGGTAATAATTGTAATTACGAAGCAATAAGATGCTTATCTTAAGATACTAACAAGGTTAGGTAAGGTCGGTGTTTTCTATGAATCTTTTTAAGGGTATCTATTATGTTAAGTATGTCACCTATGCACATATTTAATAAGTCAATATTGACTTATTAAATTTGCGAGAACGGGTTGACTCTACGGATTATTCCAGTCATGTTTCATTACTGTTTAATGAACGAGCGACAGAATTATATATTTTATATATTTTACGTTGGTTACTATTGGCTTGGAACATCACTTTAGTTTGTACAGTTTACTTTTCGTAGTCAACAACCCTGTTTGCTGATGTTATTGCTGGTCTGCTTATTCCTGCCTGTCTCTCAAGTGTGTACAGTAATCTCACGTGAGTACTGACACACGTAATTGTGTCAAAGGATTTTTGACAGTCCAAATATACACAAACTGACCATCCTTCCCTCCCTTATTCTCACTACTTTATCACAGGATTTCTGTAGGATCGTTATCTGCGATTTCCCTTCATTAAAGCCTTGTTTGTGTTAGCTTACATACCTAGTTCTCTCTGTGTGTAACTAGTCGTTACCTGATTATTCATTCACGTTCATTGCAGGGGGATGCTTGTTAATGATAGGGGGATGGTTGCCTGTTGTTAAGTGCCTCTCCCCCTATCTCCTTCCTTGATAATTGGTTCCATGTTTGCCTTCTTCCAGCAGCTGGGCAACTCTCCCTTCGCAAGAGACTCGTTAAAGATGCTTGTTAGAGGTACACTGAGGGGACTGCGCTGCCTCTTTTAATATCGACGGTGATACGCTGTTTAGTCCAACTGCTGTAGTTTCGTCCAGTGATGCTACTTGTGTGTGTGTGTGTGTGTGTTTGTGTGTGTGTGTGTGTGTGTGTGTGTGTGTGTGTGTGTGTGTGTGTGTGTGTGTGTCTGTTTGTGTGTTTGTGTGTGTGTGTGTGTGTGTGTGTGTGTGTGTGGTGTGTGTGTGTGTGTGTGTGTGTGTGTGTGTGTGTGAATCAGAAATATGAATGCTACGAAGTCTTGTTTTAAAATCAAGGTTCCCAATGAACACCAGTCTACAGAAGGGAAGTAATCCCTCCAGACCGCCAACACCCAGGCCAAACAATAAGGATTACTCTTTCCGTGGCTCGTAAATCCCTGCGAGATCTTGGGACAAGTTTAAGACCTGCTGAGCTTAATTGTGATTGGTCGGAAGTGTGGAAACCGGACACAAGTTTTAGTCTGGTTTATGTGATGTGTTGCATAAGAGGCAAGCATATTGTGTGTGTGTGTGTGTGTGTGTGTACGTGTGTGTGTGTGTGTACGTGTGTGTGTGTGTGTCCACTCAGCCGTCAGGGGCCTGACAGCTGAGTGGACAGCGCTCGGCGTTTGTAGTCCTAGAGTCCTGGGATCGATCTCCGGCGGAGGCAGAAACAAATGGGCAGATTTTTCCACCCTAATGTGTGTGTTCACCTAGCAGTAAATAGGTACGTGGGAGTTAAGACAGCTGCTACGGGCTCCTTTGTGTGTGTGTGTGTGTGTGTGTGTGTGTGTGTGTGTGTGTGTGTGTGTGTGTGTGTGTGTGTGTGTGTTAAAAAAAAGTTAGCTGATTGACAGTTAAGAGGCGGGCCCAAAGAGTCATAGCTCAACCCCTGCAACACAACAAGGTGAGTACACACATACTGATTCACACACACACACACACACACACACACACACACACACACACACACACTCACTCACTCACTCACTCACTCACTCACTCACTCACTCACTCACTCTCTGTCTCTCTCTGTCTCTGTCTCTCTCTCTCTCTCTCTCAGACCAAGGTTGAAGTGTGAGAGGTGTTGACAGTGTAGGGAGGTGTGGTCACCGTGGCCAGGGCCCCAGCCAGCCAGCCAGCCAGCCAGCCAGCCAGCCAGCCAGCCAGCCAGCCAGCCAGCCAGCCAGCCAGCCAGCCAGCCAGCCAGCCAGCCAGCCAGCCAGCCAGGCATGTCAAGGACCCCTCCACAAAACACACACACACACACTCCACCAAACTCCTTCCAATCGTCCCAAATCCTCACGTTTTGTATGCATTTGGAACGGTTCTTGGGGCCAGGAGGCGGCGTGGTGCGGACCCTGAATGGATCACATACTGAACACTAAGGAATGGTGGACAGCTGCTGAGAATTAGTCACAACAGCTTGGCTGAACACAAGCCACTTATATGACGAGAAATTGACGGAGGTGTTGGTCCTTCTTGGCCTGTCATCAGGCGATGATGACTGTGTCACTGTCTTGTCATGTGTGGCATATGTGTCTCTCTTACTGGTTCCTCGGAGGGGAGTCATGACCACGTGACAGTGTCATGGATAGTTGACAGTGTCATGGATAGTTGGCAGTGTCATGGACAGTTGGCAGTGTCATGGACAGTTGACAGTGTCACGGACAGTTGACAGTGTCATGGATAGTTGGCAGTGTCATGAATGGTTGGCAGTGTCGTGGACAGTTGGCAGTGTCGTGGACAGTTGGCAGTGTCATGGATAGTTGACAGCGTCACGGACAGTTGGCAGTGTCACGGACAGTTGGCAGTGTCACGGACAGTTGACAGTGTCACGGACAGTTGGCAGTGTCACGGACAGTTGACAGTGTCACGGACAGTTGACAGTGTCACGGACAGTTGGCAGTGTCACGGACAGTTGACAGTGTCACGGACAGTTGGCAGTGTCACGGACAGTTGGCAGTGTCACGGACAGTTGACAGTGTCACGGACAGTTGACAGTGTCACGGACAGTTGGCAGTGTCACGGACAGTTGACAGTGTCACGGACAGTTGGCAGTGTCACGGACAGTTGACAGTGTCACGGACAGTTGACAGTGTCACGGACAGTTGACAGTGTCATGGATAGTTGACTGTGTCACGGACAGTTGACAGTGTCACGGACAGTTGACAGTGTCACGGACAGTTGACAGTGTCACGGACAGTTGACAGTGTCACGGACAGTTGACAGTGTCACGGACAGTTGACAGTGTCACGGACAGTTGACAGTGTCACGGACAGTTGACAGTGTCACGGACAGTTGACTGTGTCACGGACAGTTGACAGTGTCACGGACAGTTGACTGTGTCACGGACAGTTGACAGTGTCACGGACAGTTGACAGTGTCACGGACAGTTGACTGTGTCACGGACAGTTGACAGTGTCACGGA